TCGAGGAAGTCCGCATCTAGGAAGGAAAATAAGTGTGTGTGTTTGGGGGAGGGGGGGGGGGGGGGGTTGGAGGGATTGGATTGAGTGCTTCGTAAAAAAAGATATGTTCGTTTATGTTTCAGTGTGCGTTTTATGGCACTTGCAGCACAATTGGGTCAAATAAGTGCTGGATGTCATCATTATTATCGTACAACAAGCAATCGACCTTGTCAGACAAGTGGTGTCAGGTATCCTGTTTTTCTCTGGGGCAGAGAGCAATCTTTCTTATCGTCCCTACTTAATGCTAGGGCACTGACTGCTTTTGAGAGTTGCAGCGGTTGTTCAGTGAACGGAGCCGTTATTATATTACTTGTTCTCTTCTGTCTGTCTGTGGTTATAACGGGATGAAAACTACATTAAAAAGCTGTTTAATCTTCTCATCATATCTTTATTCTTTGCATACAAGTCTAGAAATTGGATGACCAACAGAATCTTAAAGACCGTTAATGACAGTTGCCTGGTACTGCGAACGAAGGTTCTGACATGTTTTTTATATGAGCCTAAAGCGGGTTGAAATATGATAAGAGATTTACAGCATATTATGTCTCAGGACAATGAAACACGACCCAATAGACGTGTGTGAACGTTTGGAGACTCACGTGGAGATGTTTTTGCTGTTTTGGGAGGAAAATGTACAAGCTTGAGCAACTCTTTTCAAAGTAAAGGGTGGTCGCTGTGTTAAAATGAGCAACTTGCCGGCCACGATATTGTACATTATTTAATGCAATGACCCAGTGAATGTACTCAAAGAACGGTATAAATACAGGGTCAATAGATAGGGGGAAAATACTGTATCAAGATGTTTAAAATACAAATCAATTTTTCTGTTTGGTCACTAGCCTCCAGGAGTAACACGCAAAGTTTCATGCGCATTGGCAAATGAATAAATGAGCTTGAATTGTTTTAACATGGACAGACAGAAGTGTACAAACAAAGTATAGCGGTATTTTATCGCTTTTAAGCACAATGGGGCTATCCCGAAAAATGCTGTTTTGAGAAAATCGAAGATTACATTTTTGCCCCTTGTTCAGTTTCTTTGAAAGACAAGGAGAGTTTTCTCTACAACCAAACAAGTATACGCACCAAGGAAACCAAGCTTCTTCTACAGGTAGGGAAATGCCCACTTTTGGTGTAGGTCAAGATTTCTGGAAACCCCGAAATCTGGGTTAGCCCGCTTGTCCTTAAAAGCGACCATTTAAGGAAATAATTATTAGCCTTTACACACATCAGCTGCTCTTCTCAAACTCTGAGAATTGTTCAGGTTACGCAAAAAATACCAAGGCCCTACTACAATGTACTTAACAGTTTTTATCACAGATTAGTGCTTGTGCGCTCGTAGATGTGTGTGTACATCATGTATTTGTGTGTGTGTGAATGTGTGTGTGTGTGAATGTGTGTGTGTGTGAATGTGTGTGTGTGTGTGTGTGTGTGTGGGGGTGGGTGGGTGGGTGGGTGTGCACGTGCTCGTGGTGTTGTTTTGTTCATAAAAAAAGATATATCAGCAGTTTGTTCCAAACGTACTCAGTTACGACAATTTAGGCGGGTGGTTGAAGGGAGCCACTTGTAGGTTTTACTTCTTTTCTTTCCTTCTGTTATTTCTGTCTATCTGTCTTGCTTCTTACCTGTACTATATACTATATGGCCGCCGCTTTGTCGATGTGCTTATCATTTCTGAAACTCAACACGTTGATGAAAGTTTACTCTATGCAATCAAAATATTGGAATTATTATCACTCTGAAGCCAGCGGAGACTCTCGTGGCTTAGAGGTTAAAGTGTTCGCCTCTCACTCAAAGGTCCCGGGTTCGAATCCGGGTAGCTACCGAAACATTTTCTTCTCTAAAATTGTCTCCTTTCACCTCCTTTCCCGTTTTCCTGTAATGTTATGTCGTCTCCTTTCGTCTCCACTTTCTGCCCCCACCCCTGCACTTCCTTTGCCCCCTCCTTTGCCCCGTCCTCTGGGCTCCCGACTCTTTCTGCAGCCTTTCTACTGCTACTCCTTGGCTGGGGGGGGGGGGGGGGGGGTCTCTCGTGGCCTAGAGGTTAAGATGTTCGCCTCTCATTCAAAGGTCCCGGGTTATAATCCAGGTAACGACCGAAAATTTGTTTTCTCTAAAATTGTCTCCTTTCACCTCCTTTCCTGGTTTCTACCAATGTTCTGTCGTCTGCTTTTGTCTCCATTTCTGCCCCAAAAATCCTTTGCCCCGTCCTCTGGGCTCCTGACTCTTTCTGCAGCCTTTCTACTGCTACTCCTTGGCTCTTTCTTACTGCCGCCTTTCAGCCACACCCCTGATCTTCTGGTAGGAAAGGTCTACACCTAGCCTTATCTGACAAGGTCGAAAAATTTCGGAGGTCCCGTGTGCAAGTTTCGCGCGTTAAAGATCGCTTGGTGGTCTAAAATCGTCAAGAGTAGGCTTCGGCCGCCTCCCGAGCAAAATTCAAAAATTCCTACAAAGTGAAAATATTTGATGTCCCGCGCGCTCATGTGACCTTATGCAGTTGCGAGGATAAAATAAAATAAAATATTTTTTTAAATCGTAAAAAATAGATAAATAAAAAGAAATAAATAAATACATTAATTAATTATGCCTAGCATTAGTCTCCCTGTAGCCATTATACCTGTTCAGTTTTCTGTTTGTCAGCGGTTTGGAGGCAAACTTTGGCACCGTTTTTGTATTTCAAAAGCAAAATTCAAAACTTTCCCGGTTACGTTGAAAACCGATGAGCTTAAACTTAATGGCTGTGTCCCCGTTAGCGATAACATTCCTACGTAACCTTTATCGGTTATTGATGACCTCTATCGGTTATTGATTACCTTTGCTGGTTATTGATAACGGCTTCCTCGTTGAGGGCGTGCACTCTTGTCATTCCTCAGAGTAATTGAAGACTCGCTTTTAAAGGGAACTTTGCATAGCACTCCTGTAGGATAGCGACCAAAACAAAAGCCTCTCTTCCCCCCAAAGCAAAAATCTTGATTCAATAATAAAAATTATTCTGTATCCGGGCCCCTATATTAATCACGTCCAGCCTTTGGGTGTATTACACGGGGTCACGGGTCTCAACAATAAAAGTGATTTACAATGAGGACGTAGCCTCCACGGTTATAAAAGAGGCATAATAACTAGACTTCGTCGTTCATTTACATTTTTCCTTCCTGTTTTCTTAATCTGATACTTTAAAAGGCAATCAACAACGTGCATACAAATACCATTAAAAAAAACAAACGTATGCAAATCCGCGTCTCTTATATGTGTATGGTGGTTGCAAATGTATCGCAAATTACTGTTGCTCTGCCTTTGATCGGTAATATTACAATATTATGTCGGCCACAACCAAACGTGTTGATGTTTGGGCTCATTGCCTTAGTCATCAAATTAATAATGTATGCAGTTTTTACTCTTGATCAAATAATATATGCAGTTTTTACTCTTGATCAAATAATATATGCAGTTTTTACTCTTGATTATGTTTTATTAAATGTGTACTACACGGTTGAATCGGGCACTCTTCGATTAAAAAAAACAAACAGATGGAGTTACATATATAATCTCAATCCTGTTTATTTGCCTTGCTTTCGATGAATATATACTCATCTATCTGGAATAAAAGTCGAGATGTTTTCGATTGATGGAAATGGGATGCATAGTGTTAGAGATCAAGTTGGAGAAAAAAATTGCCGCCAAAGTTTAGTGATATTCAAGGCGTGAAAGTCCTTGAAAACTCAAAATTTACATTTTGTGTGCCTTTGGTCAACGTTTGTCTGTAAAAATCCCCTCAGAAATATCCTTTTAATGGACGTTAGTGATGCTGAGTCTTATATTTAATAATGAAAAAAAATCAATTAAAATTGCCCAAGGAACGGGAAACTGACGCTTTTTCGACTCTTTATTTTGACGAACGCCTAATTTCACCCCGATGGCTCTCAAATATCCCGATCGTTCTGAGGTGGTACACTGTCCTACTCTGCCTCTGTTTTCCCCAAATAGGGAAAGCTGAAGAAGCCGGCCCTTCCTAAGTGATCTAAATAATAATTGTATCGATAGGGGCGTAAAAATGATCATAAACTACAATTCGTTGGCAAGTGGTTACTTTGTTCTAAGCCCAGAATTGCAGGAGAGAGAAGAAAACTAATTGTTTGCTCCGACCTCAAATTATGTCTTCTGTGACATCTCGGCTTCATTTCGTGAACCTTTGGTCAATCTCTCTTCCTTTTCCCTTGCAGTTTCCAGCTTAAGGCTTGCTTTGCTGATACTGGCTCTGTATGCTGGCTCTTCAATTTCGGGGTGTGTGATGAATCCACCTCCACTGTCTTTTGAGGCTGATGACTACCTTTTCTATAGATCGCTGCTGTGTTTTCTGTCCGAGTTCTTGAATGACGACGGTGTCTGGCAACCGAATTCGAAGAGTCCTTGTGGTTGGTTGGCGCGTTCTCCGGTGTAGTTTGCTCCTTTTTTTTAAAATCTCAAACATATCGTCCGTATCTGTTCTTCATTTTTGTATTTGTCACTCTTCTGTGACACCTCTAATCTCAGATACTTACATATTACATGACCTAACTGTGTTGCAAGTGCCAAAAACTCCTACTAAAATGAAAACCCCCAACTAAAACAGAAGAGTCCTTCTGGGACAATCTAGTGTTGATGATGCTCTACGCCCTCATTAAATCAAAGTCTTGTCGCCCGTCTGACCTTTCTTTTTCACGGTTCCCTTGTCATATTCCTTCCAGAACTTATGGAAATGTAGGTGGTTGACTGATCGTGCTCTGGTGTTGTTTGCTTTTTCGTTCCTGTCAAACATCTATTGCCCTGCTGATATCTTATCCCTCCTCTTTCTTTTCATTACATGTTTTCTCATTAAACCTTTATTCTTTGGCAATTACATTTCCAATTTGTGTTGCAAGTGCTGTGGAACTATTACTAAAACAATACAAAATTTATAAAAACGTTTCTTTTTCTTTTTTCAGAACATGGGAAAAGATACGGAGAAACCGAAAGAATCTGGCGACAGATTGTTGACTGATCTGGAGAAAGAGACGGAGGAAAAGATGGAAAGACAGAAAGAAGCAGACACAGAGACAGAACCTGATGAAGAAACGGAGAAAGAAAAAGAGAAGCAAAAAGAAAAAGAAGAACCGCCTTTCGATGGAGTTCCCACCGACAGTGGCTGGTCTTGGGTCATATGTATATGTAAGTATCTCGCTACCTTAGAACTACAAAGTTCTATCTGCTCAGTGCCTAGTTTTGAGAAATTTGACATGAAAAAAACAACAACCGACAACTGAGTTTCACAACTTGTCAAACTTTTCCGAAAGCAGTTCTTTAAGTATCTTAGTAACGACTCAGAATAATCTTACAATTTTGATGGAACAGATTATTTGATTTCTAATCTCAGGGTCACAGTAACTCAAAACGGTAAATAAAAAATCTCAGATACAACTTTGTAATTCTTTGTAGCGACCTGTCTATGTCTCCTTTTTCTTTTCTTGATTTGGGCGCTCCATAGGCTTAGAGTTGGTACCCGGATGGCGGTGAATAAAAACAAATCGATCTTTTAATTATTATCAGATTTTTGTATGCAGGTCTCAAATAATGATGATTGACCTAGAGAATTTAAAAGCCCATTAATGAAGCTCACTGCAAGCTAATGTCCGAGACGTTTTCTACTGGCCCCTATGATGTAGTAACACTTAAGCGTCTCGCTGTTGCACGCAGGGCACATGAGCTCGTTTCCCGAGTGGGGATAATTTTTATGGATTATCTCGGTCTTTTTGCTGGGATGTTGTATCCCTCCCAGCCCGGGTTGGCCCTGACTGGGAAGGTGGAAAGTCTGCCTCCTGAATGGTTTAAATTATATAAATGGGTGCTCAAAAAACAATTATATTAAAAAAGGCATGTCTGTCTAGCTATCTGTCTCTGTCTCTCTCTCTGTCTGTCTGTCTCTGTCTCTGTCTCTGTCTCTGTCTCTGTCTCTCT